CTCTCTCTCTCTCTCTCTCTCTCTCTCTCTCTCTGTCAAAAATAAATAAACATTAAAATTTTTTTAATAAAAATAAATAAAATCTTTAAAAAAAAAAGAAAAGAAAGTAACAAATTGAAAGTAAGAGGTAGAGAGCAGGCAGTCAGCTATGCTCAGCCCCAGGTGGTCCTAATGCTTGGGGGAGCACAACCCATTCCTTTTTGCCTCTACAAAATTATACTTAAGTTCTTGTCATGGACCATGTTCTTTTAAGATCATTTTTTTTGGTTTTTGTTTTCAACTACCTTTTCTCCAAGATGGGTTTCCTGTCAGCCTAGTTCTTTCCCATTGAACTCATGATTACATCCAAACAGCCCTCCCATGACAATGGAGGAAGACCTTCCTCTGGACTTCTCTTCACTGACTACACCCCATCTCCTAAGAACAAGAACCACACACACACTCACACGTACGCACTTAACTCATGTGGCCTCTAACCCTTTCTGTATCTCAGATGCAGTTTGGAGTTTAGCTATAAACACTCCAGTTAGCCATAGCTCACCGCCCCCTCTGGGCCCCATGACCTACCAGTGCTTTTCTTGACTACTTCCTGCCCACTCCTGTCCTGCAGGAAGCCTACTGGAAAGCTGTTCGGTACTGCCCAGCTATAGAAGTAGGGGCCAGAACCAGCTCTAAATGACCTCGAGTCCCCGGGGTTAGTTATAAGAACAGGAAGAGGGGACTTCCAGTAAGTCAAATTCAAGTACAAGTGGCTGTGTTTCTGTGTTCTGAGACCTACGTCAGTCAGTTATGTTAAGTCATTGACATCTCAGCATATCATAATTGACATCTAGGTAAGTGAGCCCTAATGAAACGTCACATTTAATGACGACTTCCAGAACTTAGAAATTTCTAAATCAAACTCAGCATTAACCGTGTTTGCCCTGTGCTCTTCTCTACCCCAGTGTTGAAAGGGGACTGTTTATTTTAAACATTAAAACGTTAGGAGCTCCTCGGTGACTCAGTCGGTTAAGTGTCAGACTTCGGCTCAGATCATGATCTTAGCGTTGCTGAGTTCGAGCCCTGCGTCGGGCTCTGTGCTGACAGCTGAGCCTGGAGCCTGCTTCAGATTCTGTGTCCCTCTCTCTCTGCCCTTCTGCTCACACTCTGTGTGTCTCTCTCTCAAAAATAAACATTAAAATTTTTTTTAAACTTACAAACTTAGCCGACAGGCTCCCCATCTTCTTATATTTTCCATGATTCCTGTTACCATAAGTATAAACAGAATCAGGCACGTGTATAATAAAGTAACTCTCATTCATCCTAAATTCTATAGACAGTCCCTAAGAAAGAAAAGAAGCATAGTTGGCTAAGGTACAAATCACTCACAGGAGGGAAGCTGATGCAATATCTTGATTACTTATTTTGTAACCAGTATATACTCCTGAAAGCCAGCCAGTGGGGTGACTCCCCCAGAGCTTTTCAGTGTCCTAATTGGTTCTCGGCTCAGGAAAAGACAACCCTCTAAGTGGTGCACGAGTCCTCCTGGGCTGGCTGAACGATCCTCTCTCTCCCTCATCCAAACCCATGTCCTCCCAGATTTTCCTTCTGTAGTCATCCACCACCTGCTTTTTAAAAGCTCAAAAGGGGAAAGGCTACAGCTAGTGGAGAAGAAAATCTGCTGCTCTGAATATTTTCGTTTAGCCTAAAGAACATTTCCAAATGAAAGACTGTCACCAGGGGGTCCGGGTAACCAAGGCTGTGGGTCCTCTGGGTGGGCCCAATGGTCCTCAGCCCTAGGGAAAAATGCAATGGATAAGACTTCTTAAATTGCTTCCACTGATTTTAGAATTGAGGTTTGCCTGGTCACCTGTGGTCACATGATTTTTCCTAACATTTGTTTTTTTCTGGCAAGTGAATCGGCTCTGGGAAGCCAGTTAGGGGCCCAGCGCACAGTGTAGGCGGTAGGGATGCAGTGTAAAGTGAACCCATTTTATTTGGTCTTAAGCAAACCCAATACCAAAGCTAATGGAAGCTTGCTGTTTCATTGTCTTTATTAGCCCAGAGCTGCTGGGACAGAAAGAAATTGAAGGCAAAGGTGAAAAACAAAAAAGAAATTGGTAGGAACAAGGCCTAAAAGCAAGCAAGGACATTTTTGACGAAGTCGGAATTGGCTCCATTTCTACCTGTGTAGCTTAGGGTTGACTAGCAGAACCGGGTATAAACTGCCCCCTGCTGCCTGACACAGAGAAGTGCGTTAAAAGTCCACTTCCTTAAAAAGAATCCTATTTCTTGAATGCCTCTGTGAATGGAGAAGAAACGGGGGTGATGGCAGGCAGACTTACACAAGCCGTGGGAATCCCAGGTCCCCTAATCCTCTCCACGGTGAACATGAAGGAAGTTAGGGGCGGCTCTTCCAAAGAGTGCTATGTTTTGGATTTGGAAGTCGGCCTCGTTACTCCATCTGCAGCCCTGTCCCGTTAAGTGTGGTGACCGTGTCACCGGAGCTTGTGAGAAGTGCAGCTCTCAGGCCCCACCCCCGGTCTGCTGAATCAGAGTCTGCATGCCGACAGGATCCCCGGGTGATTCACGTGCACACTTCCGAGTGAGAAGCCCTGGGCATAACTTCAGAAGCAGCTTCGACACTGGAGAAGAGCCACCAGTCCCGAAGGTTGGGTCAAATTGAATTCAGTGGGAACAGGGAATAAACACAACTCAGTGGAGGAGTTTGATCCTTTGTTAAGATCAGGGTTGCCTTATATGCTTCTTTCCTTTTTTTTTTTTTTTTTTTTTAAGTTTATTTATTTTGAGAGAGATGAGAGCAAGTGGAAGAGGGACAGAGAGAGAGGGAGACAGAGGATCTGAAGCAGACTCCAGGCTATGTGCTGACAGCAGAGAGCCGGATGCGGGGCTCAAACTCGTGAACCGCGAGATCATGACCTGAGCAGAGGCTGGACGCTTAACCGACTGAGACACCCAGGCCCCCATGTCCTTATTTTCTCAATGCTTCTGTTGTATACATCTCACATGTCACTGTCTTTTGCACTCGCTGTAGTTCACATTACTTGCTGAATCTCAGCAGCACCAGGCAGTTGTCAAGCAGTCTCTTTTGAAAATTAGTCTGTCCCAGCGAGTATGCGACAGGCGTGGATTTTATCTGCGGCAGCATCTGTGTTTATCATCCTCCTTGTTTGCTGCAGTCTTCTCTCTCCCTCCCTTATGCCCCTGCTGTTTTTGTTTAAGAGTAGCCACGTGACCCTGCAGAATCGCAAACCCACCCCCCCCACCCCGCCCCCCAACCGGTGGCATTGTCAGTCTGTTGCTAACCCAGAGTGTTCTTTTCTGCGCCAGGTCAGGGAAGAGTGCCGGCTCCTGAACGCCCCTCCTGTTCCACCCCGAAGCGCAAAGCCTTTGTCCACAAGCCCCTCCGTCCCTCCTCGTGCAGCCAAGCCAGCGCGGCAGCAGACTCGCTCTCCCAGCCCCACCTTGTCCTACTATTCTTCAGGGCTGCACGACATGTAAGTCTCCATGCCAGGGCTCACCTCTGCATGTGTCTTATTGTCAGCCAGCTCACCGGGTCCTGAGAACGGTTTCCGGGTGGCCGTAACCTAGGCAGGAGGTGGGAGAGGAAATGTTCCTTAAAAACCAAAGAATTTCACTGGAAGAGCATGGTGGGGCCCCTGTCGGTTTCAAGTTAGGATGGAAGGAGGAGCCAGGGTCCTAGGAAGAAAAGAAACCACAGCCTATGTAAGAAATGGAGCATAAAGGCCAACTGGATTCTCTTAGACGCAAGCTGTGGAGGACTGCCAGTTCTCACAAAGTGGCATCTCGTTCTTTCTGCTCCGACTTCTGCATAAGGAGACAGACAGCACCTTCTACCGGGACCTAGACTTGAAAGGGTCCTATTGGCTCTCTACTCTGCCTTTCCCTTCTTGGCTACGGTCTGGTAGCCATTGACTTCTATCTGGACCCTTCTGGTGCTGGGAGCTCCTTCTTCTGCAGGACAACTCATTCCATTGTTGGCAAATGCCAATAATTTTTTCCATAATCTTTCATTATATCCAGTTGTCATCTGTCTCCACCTAACTTTCAACTGTTTCTTATGTCTAGAAACACAAAAATAGATCCTCCCTGCTTCTCTTTGTCAGCCTGTGAATAATTTGAAGTCAGATGTAAGTCTTCTCTTCTCCAAAAGAGGCTGCCTCAGTTCCGCCAGCTATTTCCCCTGACATCGCTGCCTGGTCCCTCGTCAGCCTGGTCACCCACCTCTGAACACACTCTGGCTTCACTGACACTTAAAATCGGGCCCCAGAGCTGAACGCATGACTCCACATATGGTCTTCACACTTAAAAATAGCTCTCTTTTGCAGGTATTTTTAATTCTCTGGACATTTAAATCCTTACGCTAGTTTTAGTCAGTTATATAGAAACCAAGGCAAGCATTGTGTTTGAAGCATTTCTTCTTACCTCAGACTTTTGGATGGGAATAGAGACATAGGTGGTAGTGATGTAGTGTTGTCCCATAGCACAGGGATGACAGGCATGAGGCACCCATTTTGTGCCCTCATCCCACCCTTCCCCACTACAGACATTAGTAATGAGTGACACTGCCTGTTGGTGATAAGCCTAAACCTGGCCCAAGAATGTGTCTCCTCATAAAGATCCAGGCACCCCCTAACAATGATTTTCTTGTTAGTTTAAAAAAATATATATTTTTTCCATCTCCACTAGAGCACGTTAAATCATCATAATTCATTTCCGTAATTACCAATGCATCTTAGTAACGTAAAGATTTTTTTTAACCCAGTGAAGTTAGCAGGTACTTCATCGAATTCACGATAAGAAATCCTAGCTTTTTCTTCCTACCTCTGTTTTTCTACTCAGAAGTGACATCTGTGGGATAAAGATGGGCTTGGTAGTTGGCTTTTAGGTTACTCACCGCCCTTTCTCTGTTTGCTTTTAAGCAGCGTTCCTAAAAGTGACACCGGGCCTTCTGAGAGTGCTCCCGTGTCCTGCTATCCCTGTAACCGAGCGAAAGCCGATTCCGTGGACCCCAAGTCCCCGACGGGCAGTCCTTCTGCTGAAACCCTTTCCTCCAGGCTCTCGTGGCCCAACCACTATTCGGGAGCGTCGGAGAGCCAGAGCAGGGGGGACTTCCTGCCGGGGCCAAGCAGGAGTTACAGTTACCCCAGACAGAAGACGCCAGGCACACCAAAGAGAAACTGCCCAGCACCCTTTGATTTTGACAGCCATGAGCTCTCGGCCAGCCCCCCCGGCTCGGTCACTTCAGAATTCAGTGGCGGCGTCTCTGCCTGTCCCAAGTCAGCCAGCTACTCTGTGGAGAGCACAGATGCGAAAACGCTGGCCGCGGACACAAGCAAGCAGAGTATCTCGTGCCCTGCCTTACCCCCCAGGGCCCCAAAACCGGTGGAAGAGAAAGCCGCCTCGGACACTTCTCCTTTGCCTCTGAAAATTGATGGTGCTGAGGAAGACCCCAAGTCCGGGTCACCGGACCTCTCCGAGGACCAGTACTTTGTTAAAAAGGGCATGCAGGACATCTTCTCCGTCTCCTACCCTTTCTCGTCTCCGCTTCACCTCCAGCTGGCCCCCAGGTCCTGTGGCGATGGCTCCCCGTGGCAGCCACCCGCTGACCTGTCGGGACTCTCTATAGAGGAAGTGTCCAAGTCGTTACGGTTTATCGGTTTGTCTGAAGATGTCATATCGTTCTTTGTTAACGAAAAGATCGACGGGAATTTGCTCGTTCAGCTAACGGAAGAAATCCTCTCGGAGGATTTCAAATTGAGCAAACTGCAGGTGAAGAAAATAATGCAATTCATTAATGGCTGGAGGCCCAAAATCTAGCCAAACAACCCCAGCTAGCATTGGACGAAACTGATGTACGTGTGTGCCAGAGGGGGTGCGCTGGGACACAATTCCATGTTTTTTGCACTAAAAACCTTCTCTGTAAATAGGGATAAGAGACACTCCTACTATGCAGATTACGTTTTTGAATGGTGAACAGGCTATTTTGTACATCAATAAAAATGCTGTACAGAACACTTAGAGGTGTGCCTTGTACATCACTCAACACTCAACAGCTGCTAAAAGACAAAAGGCATGTTCAGAGAGAATTCTTACCCAAGTAGGTTTATGCGAGAAGGTATGGTATTTATTACAAAATAGCCAAAGCTGAAAAAAAACATAAGAATCAAAAAACAAAAACAAAAACAAACAACACTTTTGAACAACAGTTCTCTCCTTTGGGAAAATCGACTTTAGACAATTAACTATTCTGTGCTCTGTCGTTTGGATTGCTCAGTGCTAATTGTTTTACTCTTGTGCCTGAAAATGTTAGTGATATGAAATGACACTTTACTGTTTGTTATATGCTCGGTGGGGATCTTTTCATCAAAAGGCATTTTCCAAAAGTCATATGTTGATAGAAGGTGTATGACGTCCTTAGAAATAATACAAATTATGACCACAATCATTTATCTGTAACTGCTGCTGATTTTCTCGAGCAGTGGAAGAAAAGAGCAGAACATATACATATATGTGTATAGATGTATACACAATGCAAACATGTTTTAAGCATCATTATTAGTCTGATGTTTTAGATAACATCTGTTCACTTTCAAATATCGATTGAGGTTTGGGGCCATTAATTAGGTTGCCTCTTAGGAAGAGTGGGCAGAATGATTCCAAAGATTCTCAGAACCCTTTCCCTTGACGCTCAGTCTTACTGGTCTTCATCACTGAAAGCATAGAGGAAATCAGTAGAGTGTCTGTATTGAAGAATTACATTTGATTGTAAGCCCATGTGGAGTAGTTTGCATATAATACTCGCATGCTGGTGTCTGGGAAAACGACAGTGTCTTGTCAAAGGATTATTTGTCTCCTGTTTGAGGGTCTTATATTCCTGGTGTCCAACAGTGAGAGGTCTGAAAAGCATTTCTCAGAGCGTGTTAGGTGTTCTCAACGTGCTTTGTGCTTCACCAGAGCTCAGAAATCAGACATACGATCTTCTGTTATTGTGCGTGCTAGATATGTTGAGTAATTTTTTAAAGTATCAGTAAGTACTTATTTAGTTCATAAGCCTCTTCTTTCCTCTCTTCCAAAGAAAATGTATTATTACCATACTTTTATTATTGAGAATTCCAGGACATGATTCTGACAGGTTTTGCCAAATGTGATTAGATATTCCAAACTATAATGTCCTCGTCATCATTCTTGACTTTTTGAAGGAATGTATATCTTAGGAAAGCTAGAGTTCTCCGAGCAAGCCGTCAGCCATAGCCCCGTCTCCCCCCACATTGATTCTGGATGTGCAGACATCTGTGACTGAGGTCAGCCAACCAGGTGCCAACATGACTTCAGGGTTGGCTTCTTGTTATCTATTCATCCCACTGACCAACATAAGTAAACAAATGTAAAGACAAGACCCACAATAAGGCAACATGCAAGATGGCTTTATTTCTTGACGTTAAAGATGCTTAATCCATCTCGTGGTATAGAATTGAGGTGAATTGATGCGTCTTCTCATTTGCCATCATAAATCTTCTCTTTTTTTTTTTTTTTTAAAGGGGCATTTTTCCCCCATAACATTTCTCCCAAAATGTAAATACTCTGGGTAGAATGACCCCATAAGGAGAATATCTTGTAAAATTCGTCATACTGGAGCGCCCCTCCAGGAGTAACTGAAATATTTATTACAAAGGAGTTTCTGGTACCACACTCACATGACAAGAGACCCTCAGTGACTTTGCCGGTTAGAAAACATCCTTCTGTATAAGCCACCACTTCCGTAGCAACATTAACCTCTCAGAAACTTCCTTGAAAATAAAAACAGACAGGATGCAGTTGAAAAGCTGCATTTTTTTTCTTTAACAAATCCTCACGGAATCTGCTTTTAAACGCCTGACCCCTGGACACAATTCTCAAATTCAGGCAGGAGGAACCGACTGGCTTTGGGTTTACTATGAAGGTTGCCCCACATACACAAATGACCCCTTTTATGTTTCTCTTTTTGTTTTTTCTTTTCCAAGAACTTGACACAAATAGTTTCTGCGTTCTGTCTTGGCATATTTATATCGAGTTTATATTGGTGGCAATGTAGAGACTGCTTGGAGACAGGCACTGTGGCCCTTGGGTCATGTATTCAGATTTGTTGAACACCTCTTATTGCCAGGAACCATGCTGTGTGACTCAACAATACTAAAAAAAAAAAGACGTGGCTTGTGCCCTCTTGGAGCTCCTAATGTTTATATTTAAAATCACAGTTACTGAGACTGCATATGTGTGACGAAAAGAGACATGAAATCTTCTGGGCAGTTGGATGTATGGAGAGTTAAGTGTGTTATGTCTTGAAAGAATCCACAGATGGAAGAAATGGCAGTCTCCATTAAAGGGATAAAAAATAAACACCATGAGACCATTAAAACTTGGAATATGTTGGAGGCAGAAAGTATCTCGGACTACCACTGGCTAGTGTTCTCTTTTACTGATTGGCAACATTTTTAACTGTAATATCTTCTGGCCTCTCTAAAGGCACAAATAAAGGTAGCTGCCATTACTGACCTGAACCCTTGTCTGTAGAGGACCTCGGCACCCTGACTAGATGAGGCATGCACTGCTAGAGAGAATCATGGCCAGAAAGGCAGTGTGGGAATAGGGTGGAACCGGCCTTTCCCTTCTGAGAGCTGCAGTTTTGCAGTGAAAAAACGATGCATAGAGATCCCCAGATGCAGAATCTTTTCTAACCAACCAAGTCAAGATTGAGTACATCTTCTAGCAGGTTCCCTGCCGTCAGGGCAGTAACCATGGGGCTTAGGGGAAAGTGCCTGTCTAAACAGGACCCTGTTTGGGGTTTACATTCATGGCCCCCATCAAAAAAGAAAATCAGCAATAAGCCAAATCAAGCAGCTAAAATGTAAAAATATGGACCTAACTCATGCTGGAAGGGAGAACTCACACCCTCCCAGACCGATTCTTTCTCAGAATCTTGTAAACGCCAGCACATTCTCTCTCTTTTAAGTTGAGCTGCTCAACTTTATGAACTGTGAAATTTACATTTATACTCTTTCAACCCACATATACCATTCAAGTTTATGAAGTTGCAGCAAGCCGCCCATTCGACTGAATTGCAGTGTTTATTCTTGTCTCATGGAGAAATAAAACAATCTTACGGGAAACTGTTATGACAATCCATTCCAACTGTTTTCAGACACACACATAAACACCCTCTGCTCACATTCCAGAACCACCTGCACATCATCCCTACAACTCCTTGAGAAGTTCAGGGGGTGGCTGTGGATGGATAGAGGGTCCATTTTCCAAACACTGTGTAACAAGTCACTACGCGTCATGCTTAAAGAGTATGAAGTTAACATTTTGAATCACAAACTGGAAAACAAAACAGTTCTCCAAAGTACCTCGTGAACCATTCAAAGGAAATTTCTGCGTCATCCACCAGAAAAGCTAAATCTGCTGTTGGATACGTCAATTCCCACTCTTTTTCTAGTAATACAAAGGCAACTGGCTGCTAGGGCAGGAAGTGTAGAACACCCAAAGTGCAAATGACGAGAAGGAGGATTTTTGCCCTAGGGGGCTGTAAAACTGTGTGTGGAATTCTCACAGCCGCTTCTTGTCCCATTGCCGTTTAGTCTTTGAAACTGGGTGTTTTAAAATTGATCTCATGGTGGAAACCAGAAGCAAGGGGTAAATGTGATTTCAGTTAAAACTATGTACAAATATCTTCTGTAATTTTGCTGCTCTAATTTTTAGGCTATGAATTTTGTAATGAGCTGATCAGATTACAAATTTCCTTTGTTTACAATCTCATATAGTAGGGGCTCAGATCATTTCTTAGCTATCAATCTCTTCTCCCATTTTCATACGAAGTTCCATTTAAAACATTGTTGAAACTAAGCCTAAAAATTAAACTCAATTAATTAAAAATGGGGGAGTTTTCCTTGATTTAAATGGAAATGGTATATTCTTTTCAAAGAATTTTGTAACCACCTTTATAGCTTCTTTGCTTGGAAAACCGAGGGTGTTAACTACCAGTTAACAGTTGTATTACTTTCCAGAGCATTATCTAACGGGCCCAATGTGTACCTCAAGATAAACATGGTATGTTATGTCTAAAAAAATTCATGGTTGATTTAAATGGTTCTGAAATGTCTATAAATAAAGAAAATTTAAAAGTTGCTCTTCTTGCAGTCCCTCAGTGAGTTGGACCTAGTGCATAGTTTTCTAGAACTCTGTCCCCCATCCTCATGGAGATGAGAACGCGCGTCTGAAGGGATTCTTAATGCTGCAAGCCCATTCTGTCCTAAGAGGCGGAAAGCAATGGCTATTGCACAAAGAAGAAGCTGGGAACCAGGTCACCTGATGGCATTCAAAGAAAATCCAGTACCTGTGTGGTCAGAAGTTAGAACAAAAGACAATTCATTTATATAATGAACTGGTGAGGTTTACAAAAACAAAACAAAAAAAAAAAACAAACAAAAAACACTTCGTGTTTGGGGAAAAGAAACAATACAGATTCCTCTCTACACAGTTTAATTTATATAATTACAATCAGCATTAAGAGCAGAAATGGGTGTGCAAGAGAAAGTCATGAGCATTCAGCTCACTGTGGCACCCACCAGTGAGTTTTACAGAGAAGTTGGCAAGTGGCAAATGGAGGTTGCTTAAGAGAGCTTCTGTTTTACTCAGAATAGCATGCAGTAGCTTCAGACCACTTTATTGTGAGATTCTGGGGGAGAAACAAAGGGCTGGCAGGACAATGGGAACCCACATCCCCCGCCCCGACTAGACCTCCCCAGCTTCACAATCACGGAAACGTCTTCCTGTCTTCC